TAAATAAGGGGACCGGTCAAGTAAACAGGTGAACCCCATGTGTCCAATTAATATAGACCCCTGTCATCGATGGTACATCGTTAGATGACAGTATACATGCGGCTTTTAAACCTCCGGGACGTATGGGAATGACATACAATGAAATATATCGTTTTTGCGCAGGCCAGGTGGCGCCACCGGCGAGTAAGGCCATGTCAGTGTCGCTGTCAAATGTTTACTTACCAATGGGATGATATTTAGACAACCGAATATGGGTATACAGAGGTTGCTTTCTATCAACGCCTGTGGCGGTTTTAGACCTCATAACATGATGATATAATATTTGTTTTTACTATGTAGGTAGAAGAGTATTGTAGCATGCACTTTTCACTGATTTTGAGAAAAGGTTATGAGAATAATGTCTATAAAAATCTGCTATTTTATTCGGTTTACACGTTGTTTATTGGAAATTCGCGTTCGTGAAATAAAAGTACCGTGCGTCTACGTAGCTCGGAAAACATTTGCACTCGCCATAATAATAGGTACTTATTGTAAATAATCATTATTGTATGAATTCATAAAGCCAAAACCACAACTGACGAGTCACCTAATTCTAATCTGCAAGTCACTAAACGCGAGACTAAAACATTAACTATACAATTTACTACAAACCCTCACTTAACTGGCAAAACCATAAATTTTAAACAAGCAATATAATATCGGTCCTATTTGTGAACACAATTTATTCAGCCCATAACTTATAGCCAGCTTAATTTACATTGGCAAAAATATTTTATCAACTTACTAAAACATTTTGTTCATACTTATTTATTTATGAAAGTACTTTTCAAGTTAGTTAGACTGAGACGTAGTCGATGCTAATGAATTTTATATGAAGATTCATGAATGCCTACGTTACTAATCCTAAATCTTGGTATTAAATCTAGACGTATTAATCTGACACCGCGTCTTGAATAGGTTAGGTGCTTAAAAGCGCTTGTGGCGCCACTCGTGCGGATTTTATTATGAACGCAATTTGTGTTTTGTTTTAATAGTAATAAAGCTTAGGTTAATAATGTGAGTACATCTGAGAAAGGCGGTGACTGAGATTAGGGCAATTATTATGACGTCATTACAACAAAGAAATACGAATCTAGGATAGGTATCTTCAAGGATGAGGAATTTCAAAACTCAATTGGCGTCGCCCATGGACACTTGAAACACCAGAAGCGTTACAAGTACGTTACCGTACGTTAATCCGCATATTGAAGATTAGGAATATTTGGGGATTGTTAAGGATTCGGGGATTGAGGAGATTGGGGCGGAGGGTAAATACCCCCCAAAAATAAATAAACCCTAATAAATAATAACTTTACTCACACGACGAAACACAACGTAAGCCTTGTTTCACGTCGGTACCTTTAGAACATATATTATTATTTAAAATAGGCGAAATAAAATCAATATGGAATGGGCGGTCAGCATGTCAATTGTAAATGATTTGACTGCACGATTTGGTGCAGTGACTGGGCAACCAGCTGCCGTGTAACTAGTCGCTGGTTCGATTCCCACACGGAACAACACTTTGTTTGATCCACAAATTGTTGTTTCGGATCTGGTTGTCATTGTGTATCTGAACTTGTATGTTTGTAAACGCACCCACGACACAGGAGAAAAATCTATGGTGGGGCAAAGTTGAAAAAAAAATTTTATAATTAGATACGTAATTTACAAATTATAGGTACTATCCAATTAAACCATATGCCACTGATTCTTCTTCATTACCCAAAATAAAATAAAAAACAGAAACTATTCAATGATCATAAACCTACCGTCACTTAACCCAAATACGTTTTTGCATCATCACAAAAATCATTAACAAATCTAGCTCATACGAATAATGACTGTAATTTCATGTGAACATCATAAGACTACTAATAGACAACACAAATGCAACTTTGATTGTTTTTTTACAATCACTGGTTGCTGGCACCCACGTATGAGTTAGTTTGGCGTACACTATGCAACTAAATAGTTGTTAGTATTACAAAACAATAAATAAATAAATAAAAATAAAATTTTATTCATAATTCAAAAATGCAAAATACAAAATATGTTTCAAGTAAGTAAAATTGATCTCATAAAGTTAGATGCCTGCACTAGGACAATCCTGTATCGCAGGCTAAAGGAGCTCTATACATTACTTTTGTAGGAAGACATCTTATTTCTAAAAACGTACCTACATACTTATCATTATGCAACAGTAAACAATATCATTATTTACATACATACAAAATAAAACCTTATACTCTATATTCTCATAAGAGATAGGCAGAGGTGCATTTATAATTATTTGTTATACATAAAATATACCTACTTACATAACAATAAATCCCCGAAGGGATAGGCAAAAATATTGCAACATTATAGTATATACCTAACATTAACATTTATTCAGAATATAGCTTTTCCGATTAGATTTTGAAACAATAGGACCGTTTGAAATAAATATTTCGCTCATCCGATGCACACACATCGGCCTATAAATGCCCACTGCTGAGCAAAGCCTCTTCTCACATGGAGAAAGTTTAAGCATTAATCACCACACTTGCTCAATGCGGCTTGCCGATTTCAAACTTATAATTAGAAATTATAAGCCCAGGTTTCCTCACGATGTTTTCCTTCATCGTTTGTCAGTGGTGTCTAAATAATCTTAGAAAGCACATATTATTATAACTCGCAAAAAGCCACATAAGTACTTGCCGTTGGTAGGTTTCGAACCACATAAATATAAAAAGCGGTCGTCTTAAACCTCCGGGCCACCATGACATTTGCGATGCACATTAATTTGCAAAGGCCACTTGTCATTTCAACATTCTTATTAGTGAGAGCAGTATTGATTAAGAATTTAATCACATTTCGTACTAATAATAACCACCAATTGATATTGGATGGGAGTGTTATTGATTGCATACTAAAATATCATTTCATTTATAAAACTGTCACTTATAATTTCATTTCAGAGAAATACAAATCCTTTATTTAGACACGAATCCGAAAGGAGAACTTGCTTTGAAACTAAAGATTTTACAGAAATGCGAACTACTAAAGCTGTCACAAATTGCTCTGACAAGCAACTAAAGTAGCTTAGTTTGCGCCTTCGCTAAGTCAATTGCGTTTCGTTTCAACTTTTTTCAGTTCATGCAGTAATTACGGACTGGTTTCTATATTAAATTAACTTTGATTCTAATGTAAATAATAACGTTAATAACCTAGTTTTATTTTTGATCCAGCAAGTCATTGGTGGACCTGGACACTGGTGCCAATTATTTTTGAACTTATGCATCGTTTTCGTTCTAAGTTTGATATGGGCTGTAATGAAAATAAGAAGTGTTAATAGCTGCAGTCTCTATCGAGACCCTGGATAAGAATTACGAAATAAACGGTGGCCCGTTTGTGTATTAATCCCCGTATCCCGTTCGTGTATTAATCCCCGTATCCCGTTCGTGTATTAATCGAACTTGCGACGACGATTTTTAATATATATTTATATATATATATTTTTTTTTTGATTTCACTCAAAGTTAGGTTGATAAAATCAAAGAGTTTTTAATAAAATTTAGTTTTTTTTAATTTCGAACATTATTCGGCTCTTATATATTGGCTCCTACAAGGGCAGCAGTGGTAACTGTATTATGTTGTCGCCACACACCTTCCCGAAAGCAGCACACATTTCACAGATATTACTTGTAACCATAAATTGTTTGGTAGTACAGAGTCTATAAAAGTCGGTAGCGATATATGTAGCATAAAAACTATGATGAGGGACGAAAATCGTATTCAAAGTAAGTAGAGGTAAAGAAATATGGCCTCTTGTACTGAATAGGTCGTAAAAGGAAGAAATGTAGTTCGAGAGAATGTGTAATACTAAAACATTCGGATCAGTTATTTTATTACTTGTAAACGTTTACTGCGTTACGGTTTCGGCCCTTCGACGTTATTCTTAGATGCTTAATATTTAATTTTCTATTTACAATTTCTTTAATTTTTATTTAGAACTGATTTAAAGGTTTATTTATCCCTGCCCTCTAAATTATTTTTTCTAAATGTAAAGGAACTTAAATCATATCAAAATTACTAAAACATATTTAGCTTAAATGTGCAAAAAAGCAAAAAAAAACATTCTGAAACGATTAGGTATATAAAAATCAGTGATAAAAATACAAAAACTTTTCCTTTTTACTGTGTAGCCGAGTGATTTCAAAAATAGAATGCGACCCCAATAAATTCGCGCCAACATAGAACGAAAAAAAAAACGTATGCAGTTTATTTCAAACCAGCAATTAAAAAAAGAACGTTTAAACCAGCAAGTTGCTAGCATGAAGGTTTATTACAAAATAGGAAAAATAAAACTGGGAGCCATTGTATGCAGTAATCGAGTACTCGGGCAGAATAAAGCAATTAGATCGTTTGATACCATTTAGTGGAGCCTCGTAAAAAGTGGTTAATTTACCAAGTTTATGGGCCTATATGTAGATGATGAAGAATGGCTGCTAACCACTTAATCATCCATGATTGGAGAACTATCGGTACTAAGGAAGTCGACGGATGTAGCTTTTGATGTGTGAAGCGTTATAATCTATTCTTGATTTAAGATTTAGTTTATGATCGATGGTACAACTGGGCAAGCCTCAGGGTTTTAAGACACAGTCGTCAGCACATGAACCTTCACCTCACTATTAAACTTCTTTAATAGAATATCAATCTTATTCCTTTTGAACAAAGTTAAAACTACATTGAAGAAATTGGACATATTGGAGTGACTTGATGAGCTCCCGGTTAAAATATAAATCTGCCACTTTCTAACTTAAACATTTTTATTCAAGAATTATCTTGTACCTATCATCGCGGTAAGTTATTGCTTTTGGTAGGCGCAGTAAAGAAAGGTATTATTTATTTTCTTATGCCTCCTCTACACGTCGGCGGACGCGTCCGCCGATACCATCGGCGGACGCGTCCGCCTACGTGTAGAGGGAGTGATTTGCTCGTCTGTGGTAGGTATTTGACGTCGGCAGACGCGTCCGGCACTTATCCGTTTGTTGTCGGTTTTTGTTGCACGGATCAAAGGGATCTGGCGCGGGCGCCCGGCGCGAGAGTGCGGTGTGTCCACACGTCTGACGACGCATCAGTGTTCAGCGGGAAGCGAGTGAGAGTGCACGCGTGATTTTCGCCGTTCTTTTTTACCTACCGCCGTTTTTTTCTTGCTTGTTGAAATGGCAAACATGAGCACAGAGGAAACATTTAAATTTCTGGAGCTGTATCAAGCAGAAAACTGCCTGTGGAATCCCAAAAATAAATACCACAAAAATAAAAATGTTGTAAGTACACAATTCATTCATTTTATTTAACTATCTACTTACAAATTCAGTTGAGTTTACTGTAAATTGGTTATTAGATATTAACAATGTGGATTTATGACGGGTAGGCAATTGTTATTTTAGTTCGAATTAAAGCCGCATTGAAACACGGTCAAAGTTATAATACAGTTTTATGTGAATGGGTATTTTGATCGTGTTAACGCGACACACGACAACTTATTTTGACCACCTGTTATTATGCCCATTGATATAACCACAATGATTATACTTACTTATTTTATTTTTTCAGATTAATGATTCATGGAAACGTATTGCTGATACGATGGGCATTCCAGTGCATGAGTTAAAAAAGAAAAAAGATAATCTTCTTAGTACATTTAGAACGAATTTAAAAAAAAGAAATGCATCCATTCGGTCAGGGGCGGGAACAGAGGATGTGTATCAGCCCATATGGATATTTTACGATGTGATGGCTGCGTTTTTAACAGATGTTTACGAATCCACAAGTATTCTAAATACAGAGGAAAAAGTAAGTAAAAATAAAACATTCTTTATTTTTGGATTATTTATTTATTTGAGTAGCCAACACAACATACATTTCTATATACTTATCTTAAATTTATAGGTATTTAGATACTACTAGATTACTAGGTACTTTTGAATTAATGGTTATTCTCGTTAATATATCTGGTAAATTTTAATCGCGTTTCAACTGCACATGTAGGCGCTCTTCGAGGTATAGGTTGCAGTGGATCGAATGTTCCCGTGTAATTTTGTCTCCAAGACCCTGGTTGGATTAATTCTCCATTGAGATACTTATCTTCTGAATTTGGGGGACTGTACAAATGTTGAGATGTTTTACTTTTTCTTAAGAAATTGTGTAACAAGACACATGTCATTGTAATTAAAGATGCTTTAGTGATATTCAAGGGTATAGGCTTTTTGAAAATTCTGAATACGCTAGACATTATACCAAAAGTATTTTCGACTGCTACACGCGAACTAGAGAGCTTTTGATTGAATAATCTCTCTGGAGTACCAAGAGCGTGATGCCCTGGAAATGGTTTCATAATATGTGTACTCAATGCAAATGCGGCATCAGCTAAAAATACATAGGGTAAGCTTGTATTACTATTGGGTAAGCAACTAGGAGAAGGCAAGTTGATCACATTTGTGTCAATTTTTTGCTTTAAAACACTTTGATTATAGACTCCACCATCGCTAATTCGCCCTGGGCAACCTATATCTACAAACATAAAGCAGTAGTCACTATCAACTAGTGCTAAGAGTACAATACTGAAATGCCCTTTATAATTGAAGTACTCCGTTGCGGTATTGGGTGGCGGTAGAATCATGACATGTTTCCCATCTAAAGCGCCAATACAATGAGGAAAATTAAATCCTTTTGCCTTTGCAAGCCATTCATCCGTAGTGTTAGGTATCTGAAAATAAAAATATATAGTCAATTTAAAAAAAAAAACGCTGGTTTGCTCTTTAATGTAATATTATTATTTAAATATATTTTTATTGAATTTTTTCTTTCCCAGACACAACCTGATTTGTATGAAGAGGATAGCGCTTCTAACGTGCAGGTTAGTGATAATATTCCGGATGCTAAAAACGAAGACCATAATGATGCCGACATCCCTACTACATCTCAAAACAAACCAATTATTCAGTCACAAAAACGTCGTGCTAAAGATCCACCCGAAATGCAAGAAGCCAATAAAAAAATGAGTACTGCTTTTACAGCATTAAATAAAGCATTGGCTAACAAAGAAAACATAAAAGAAGAAGACGAATGCGATTTATTTTGTAAAATGTTGGCAAAACAAATAAGGGAGTATCCAAAACTTGAAAGGGAAGAAATAATGTACGAGCTTCATGGTGTTATGATGAACAGACGTCGTCGTTACAACACGATGCAGGGTAGATCATATGCTGTTTCTTCTCCTTCACAAATAATCCTCAGTCGACCTAGCACGAGCAACAGCATGTATCTATCAACACCGTCACCTGTATACGTAGTAGACTCCCCCCATTCAGTTCAGTCACCACCACAAAATATGGCCAATCAACAAACCGAAATGGTTAACATTATTTCACAAGAAGTACTTGTACCACAAACAAGTAAAATGTATTACGAAAGCTGTTTAAATATGACGGACGATAATAACACCGATCACCCTTAATTTGTCAAAGCAAACTGAAAGTACCTACTTACCTATTTGTCAAAGCAAAGTTTTTTGTAAACTGTTGATTATTCATTACAATACAATTAATAATAAAGATTTTGGATTAAATTATGTGGTTTACCTTCACTAAATCCTTTAACACGTTATTGAGCGCTAAACATACTTCAGGAACAATAATGGATATAACTTGGCTTGAAATTTTAAACAGGTAATGCAAGCTTCTATAGCTATCACCAGTAGCTAAATATCTTAATGTTACTGCCAAACGCACTTTCACTGGAATGGCATCCCTCCAATCTGTATCTTTTTTAGCAATCGTTGGAGATATCTTTTGTAGTAAATATTCAAAATCGCTGCTAGACATTCGAACAAAATTATTAAATTCTCCAGAGGGCTCTGCATATAGTTCTGCAAACTGGTTTTCCATGCTATTCCTGCGAAGAAACAGAGTAATGTAAGAAGTCGTTACCTACGTTAAAAAAAACTTTTTAGAAAAGAGAACCGACTTCAAAAACACTAACCCGTAAGAATATCCAAGTATATTGCCGAAGGTCATCATTAAACTAAGAAGTATTATATACTATAACCTCTACCTAAATGTAACAAATCCTTTTATGAAAACCGCAAACATACATACAAACATACAGGTCAAACTGAGAACCTTCTTTTTTTGAAGTCGATTAAAAAGCGTACAAGTTATATTATGAATAAAAAAATCCCACTTACTTTGTTCGGTTTCTATGTATAGTCAGCATCCACCACCTTCTTCTTCTCCATTTTTTTTTAATAACTCTATTGCGATAGACGCTTAAATAATACTTGTAGGTACTAAATAAATAAATAGCTGCGGCAGCAACGGTCTCTATATCCATTCTGCGTGCGTACGTGTTGCATCTGACGAGAACCAACATAGACTGAACGACCTGGCGACGTGTGGACGGCTCGTAGAGATTCATCTGCGGATGCGTCTGCGGACGTCTGCAGACAAATCTGTCTACGTGTAGAGGAGGCATTACACGATGACACTGTACAAGTATTCAGTAGACATAGCTTCATTGGTCAATTTGTTGCGTCACGACTGCCGGGTTAGCTTCCTGAGCAACTGAATTGAGTAAAAGTAGGTATTATTTGGTTTTAGAAGTCCGGAGTCCAGTGTTGCCCAAAGTGTCACAGTAGTACTGAGGCCTATTAGTATTAGTCCAATTATATAAAACTGGGAGTTTTCGCCAATCATGTCAATTGAATGTGTAGGTGCTTTGTACCTATGTGCTTTGTTCATTGTTATCGTTATTTATATTCATTATTATTTTATTGTTTTGTTGTTATTTTTTCTCTCTCTCTTTATTATGTTTCTGCTAACAGTAACCTTTCGTCCTGGATTAGCTTACTTTGTTCTGTAAATTTTTTGTTTTTGTCTGTTATCATGGTCCTATCCAGGAAATTGTGTCACGGAGAACCTAACGGGTTACCGGGGCTCCGGCTCGACGTGCAGGAGAAGAAACGGGGTGGTTTTCAGTCAGTAAGAGTCTGACACTCCCTCCCGCCTCACCCAGACGGAAGTAGTGATTCGATGATTTTCCCCCTTAAAAAAAATACAGCAAATTGTAATCGCAATGGCTTATTCGTATAGTTTAATTTCATATGTACACTGACTTCTAACATACATTTTTTTCCTAGTTTAGAAATCAAGGTCCTTTTGCTCTAGCGACAGCCACGAACCTAGAAATGTAAAAAAAAAAATATGCATATTTGTCTAATCTAGCCACAATACGAAAAAGCCGTAATATTAATAACATAATATTGTTGTACAAAAATTTGTTTGATATTCCTAAAGAAATTATTTCATCAAAACCCAATACAATAGAATTGGAAAAGTTCTAGAAACTTTCTCCCAAACAAATTGGTTTTGCAGATCTAGATTGAAATAATGCCTAATTTCTCAATTTTATTGTTTGTCATCAATGTACAATATTAATGTTTAGGAAATCTTTTGTCGATATTTGAAAGGAGAGAGAGGAGAAGAAAGGGATTCTTCAACAACGTAGTTTCATGTATAATAATATCTATCTGTCAGGGGCGTAGCTAGAACCGTATGTGTTGTATTAAAAGGATAGTAGACAGTGTATGAAAATTAATAATGTAATTAGTTCGTCAGTTAGATAATAAAAAAATATTATTTATTATTATTATTATTTATTTATTTTGGTTAACCAACAATTGTTTACACTATATACATTACTGATTAAATAGCTATAGAAACAGTTACACGTGCAACAATTAATTATAGGTTAACACCACATGCAAAAAATAAAACGATAAACAAAACATACAGAAAAATAACAAATGATTCCATGGGTGCATATCTATCTCAAAAAGAAAAGAAAAAAAAATACATTAGGATGATATGCTTTTGCATATTAGAAAAATATGCTTTTATTTTTCGTATAAGAATACAATACTTAGATAAACGGAGTTAAGTTTAGGAGTGGGAGGTCGTTACGTCACGCTACCCTATAAAATGTAGTAAATTGTGACGTCATACGATATTTCAAATCGTATAAAGTATTAAATATATCGTCGAAAGTATTTCATTTTTGTAAGACAGGTAAAAATACGTGTCTAATGTTTTAAAATAATGTAGATGGACATTAAAATGAAATTACTACCCTACCTATTATACGCCCCCAACCCGCGTAAGCAAAAATCTACATGTAGAATTGACATCGACGTAAATGTCACACTGGCTATTAACTCAACGGTATTCCAAAATTAATTTCCGATTTAAAATTCTCTTGTATGTCAGTCTGTCTGTATACTATTATTAAAATTCTATATGTATTCTTAAATTGAATTCTTGACACAATTCTATATGCCTACGTAGAAACAGAATTCCCTATTACACACGATCAAACACGTATAATTTTGTTGATTTTCAAATAAATATCAAATGTCAAATAAAATATGCCGTGATTGCCATACCAATATGTAATTAGGCATTTCCGTAGCTATGGAATTCCGACCTTCTGCTACTGTAATTAAGGTTGCAAATCATGTGATGTTAATCTTCATTTTTAACGGTAAGCAAAAAAACATTGTTTGACAATGAACAATTATGATTATTTCTTCATTTAGTTCAAATAATTTTAAAAACTTTAAACATTAGCATGACTAATAGATTTTCAACTATATTTTTTTAGAGATAAAGTTTAAAATCCGGTAAATTAGGATATGTTTAAGTTCTTTTTTGTATACGTGGTTTTGAAGTCGTAGTGAGTTGTTCATAATACATATTATGTACGAATAAAGTAGAATCAATATTTACAATTATTTAGTATCGAAGAAACTTTGTGATGATCAAATATCGCACAGTTAAAGTTGTTTGTTGTTATTGCTTGATATGAAGGACTAGTGTTAATTCGTTGTTTAAGGTTGTTCAATAGAAGCCATCAGAGGGCATCGGCCAATAGGGGTGATGCCGGTATGGAGCCGCGGAAGACTTAACGGGTTGCCGGGGCTCCGGCTCGAAGTGCAGGAGAAGGAACGGGGTGGTTTTTAGTCAGTAAGAGTCTGACACTCCCTCCCGCCTCACCCGGGAGAAGTCATAGGATGATTTTCCTCCCTAAAAAAAGCGGTGTTCAATAGAAAACAAATGTTTTTCAGTAGGTATACATTTAAAGGTTCCGAAAGATTTTATATCTGGATTTATTGGAAATTCATATTGCAAAATTCCATTGATAGGTACAAGAAAATATCAAAGACGTTCGTTTATTTTACAAAACCCTCTCGACATGTCATTGTATATATACAAGTCTAGACTGCCGGGCAAACAATCTCGGGTTCGATTCCGGGTCGGGCAAAGTATTACTGGGTTTTTAAAAATCTCAGTAGTAGCACGGAGCTTGGAATTGTGCCCTGTATATGGCAATAGGCTCACCCCCTATTACATGGGACTCATAACATAGTGAAAAGTGGGTGTTATATTGTACAGTGGCATTAAGTGTCATAATGTGCACCTCTGCCTACCCCTTCGGGGATAAAAGGCGTGATGTTATGTTATGTTATGTAATCACATAATTAGAATATAGTTTTTCTTTAACAAAAAACTATTTAATATTTAGTTCGCCTCTTGAAAAGGATCTGCAGAAATACTTTTTGCCAACCCTGGCCACCCGTTATTGGAGGTAACGTCGTGACACTTCATATCAATGAACAAATAAAGATGCTGTACTTAGTAGGTACATAATGATGCTGTATATACTGTGTATTAGCCAAATGACATAATATATTAATTATGTAAGTATAACGGAATGTTTGTGGTTTGTTATTTGTTTATGATCCGTTAAGAAAATTGATTAGTATTGACCACGAAGGTCACTTATTAATATTTACTTATGTAGGTACTGTCTCGTTGGCTGAATGGTCACAAGTGCCAATGCTAGGCAAGGGGTCTCGGGTTCGATTCTCGGGTCAAAGTCAAAATAAACCAGAAAGGCACTTCTGAACGTCAACAAAAAAATTAAAAGTGAAGCTATTTACTCATTCCAAGGTTTCTTTTTTTTAAGGGGGGAAAATCATCGAATGACTGCTCCCGCCTGGGTGAGGCGGGAGGGAGTGTCAGACTCTTACTGACTAAAAACCACCCCGTTCCTTCTCCTGCACATCGAGCCGGAGCCCCGGTTACCCGTTAGGTTCTCCGCGACCATTCCAAGGTTTAGATTCCTATGGAGAGATACTCTTTTTCAATCAGGTTCACAAAACGGACTACAGGGTTGTTTTAAAAAAAATCGGTATATGGCAACAGGCTCACCCCCTATTACATGGGACTCATAACATAAATAGTGAAAAGTGGGTGTTACATTGTACAGTGGCATTAGGTGCCGTAATGTACACCTCTGATACCAGTTCCTACTCATGTTCTTCGAACTGGATCCCCGGCTACCCGTTAGGTCTTCCGCGGCTCCGTATCGGGCATCAGCACTATTGGGCCTCATCTTTAGTGGTCTCATAGCTCTTTGGGCTCTTTGATCATCTCTTTGATCATACTTAGATATACATTATATATATAGGTGACTATTACTTAGTTTAAAAATAAGAACAGTCATCCAAAACCGTACCCTTTAGTAGGTATTTTAATACCCTCTACAATACATATATGTACGTGCAATAGGCTACCTCTGTATTTCAGGACACTCATAAGGTAGAGGTATAATATAGTTTTGTACTCGTTTACAGAATCCATGTCAAAGGCCAATGGTGCAGAAGAAACTCTTGATGGATGTGGAATCCAAATGGAACTGATGGGAGTTATCTATTCGTTACTGCAGTAACCGTGGATGTAGCTTAAAACTCAGTTTGGGACATGTGCCAGTTTTCTCAATAAAAAGGAAAAATAAAGTATCAAGAAAAATGAATGGCGTTTAACTAAAATTAAAGATCTGAAGTTTAAAACGAACTAAACTAGAAATTAACTAAAATCGCGGGTTACTCACTTGAATATACTGAGAAAAGCTTGCTTGAATATAAGGAGCGTGCGCGGTCGCGGCGACGTCGCGCTTTTTAGTAGAGATTTTACATATGAGAAAAGTTCATCATAATTTAGAAAAGAAATTATATTAGTATGAAACTAGTAGATAGAACTATTCTCAATTAGCGTAGCATGGCTTAACATGGCTTAGCATGGCGTAGCATGGCACGGCGTAGCAAGGCGCAGCGTAGCATGGCGTAGCATAGCTTGGCGTAGCGTAGCATGGCGTAGGGTAGCATGGCATGGCTTAGCATGGCATGGCATGGCTTAGCATGGCATGGCATGGCTTAGCATGGCATGGCAAGGCTTAGCATGGAATGGTATGGCTTAGCATGGCATGGCATGGCTTAGCATGGCATGGCATGGCTTAGCATGGCATGGCTTAGCATGGCATAGCATGGTGTAGGATGGCATGGCTTAGCATGGCATAGCATGGAATAGCTTAGCATGGCATAGCATGGCGTAGCATGGCATGGCTTAGCATGGCAT